AAAAAAAATTGTTTAAAATAAAAGGAGATTTGGTAGTGATTTAATGCTTTCACTTATATGTGGATGTGCAACCTGCTTTGTTGCTGAATCTGCCACTTAGATATCACACACCCTAATAAATTATCATATAATTTTTTTTATATTTAGAAAGGACTTCAGATTGTTTTGGTCCATTATTTTATAGGTGAGAGAATGGAAGACCAGAGTTCAGAGTTACCCAGCAGGTTAGTGCAGAGCCTTTGGGTTAAGGTATGTCTGGTTAGCACCCAGCATTTACCTGGACACTTGAAAGATGTTCAGTAAATACTTGTCGGCTAAAATGAGCAGGCCAGTGCACTTTCTCAGGTTTGTCTGTTATTTTTCAAATCAAATTCAGATCAGTTTTAGAGGCTATCATGTTTTCTACAGAATTGATTTTTACCTTTATTTCATGTTTCTTTTCACAAAATAATCTCCACTGCAAATCATTAACATGTGTTTTCTCCATGTGGCTGGGAGAGAATCCTTGCAGTTAACAAAAAGCAGGTAAAAGAATGCCAAGTCTGATTGCATCTTTCCTATGTGACTTACCACAAAATTTAGTTTACTTGTCTATAAATGGAAGGGGTCAGATAAGCTGATGTCTAACACTTACTTTCTAAGCTTACCAAAAAAACCCCTCTCAATAACAACAAATCAAATAACCTGATTTAAAAATGGGCAAAGGACTTGAATAGACATTTCTCCAAAGATGAAATCATATACACATGATCTTTGGAGAAGTCATATACACATGAAAAACTGCTCAGTATCACTAAGCATCAGAAAAATACAAATCAAAACCACAGTGCAGTGTCACCTCACGCCCATTAGGATGACTACCATCAAAAAACCAGAACGTGGGGCGCCTGGGTGGCTCGGTTGGTTAAGCGACTGCCTTCGGCTCAGGTCATGATCCTGGAGTCCCGGGATCGAGTCCTGCATCGGGCTCCCTGCTCAGCAGGGGGTCTGCTTCTCCCTCTGACCCTCTTCCCTCTCGTGCTCTCTGTCTCTCATTCTCTCTCTCTCAGATAAATAAATAAAATCTTTAAAAAAAAAAATTAAAAAAAAAACAACAAAAAAACCCAGAACATAAGTGTTGATGAGAATGTTGAGACATTGGAACCTTTGTGCACTCTTGGTGGGATCGTGAAGTGGTTCAACTGCTATGGAAAGCAGCATGGTCGTTCCTCAAAAAGTTAAAAATAGAACTAGCACATGATGCAGCATTCCCACTTCTGGGTATATATCTGAAAGAATTGAGTGTAGGATCTTGAAGAGATATTTGCACTCCCATGATCACTGAAGAACTATTTACAATAGCCAAGAGGTGGAAGCAACTCACATGTATATCAGCAGATGAATGGATAAACAAAATGTACATACAGTGGAATATTACTCAGCCTTAAACAGGGAGGAAATCCTGGCACATGGTACAGCATGGATGAACCTTGAGGACATTATACTAAGTGGAATTAACCAGTCACAAAAAGATAGATACTGTGTGATTCCACTTATATGAGCTATCTAAAGTGGTTAAATTCACAGAAACAGAAAGTAGAACAGTGGATACCAGGGGCTGAAGGAAGGGAGTAGTGGGGAATTGTTCTTCAATAGGTATAGAGTGTCAGTTTTGCAAGATGAAGAAGGTCTGGAGATCTGTTGTACAACAATGTGAAATACTTAACGCTAATGAACTATACACTTAAAAATGGTTAGGATGGTAAATTTTAAGTTATGTGCTTTTTTACCACAATTAAAAAATTTTTAATATCTGCTTTTGTATTGTTAAAGAATAAACCTTCAAGTTATTCCTTTATTAAAATGTTAATAACTGAATATGTAATATTATCCTATTCTGGTGGCCATTCAGGCAGTCCTAAAGAACTTAAGGTAGGGAAGAAACTTGTGAAGCTGAGAAAAATATTATTTTTAAATTCTCTTTTTGCCTGTTATCTGGAAAAGCCTGCCATTATTTATTTTAGTGATGTGACAATTAACGCACTAACAAAAAAGCAGTGTTTTATATGGCACAGGATGGAAACAATCCTCACAGCTCCCTGAGATCTTTCTGTTGTTGTTTTGTAGGTTCAGAGCTTCATGAGAGGATGGTTGTGTAGAAGGAAATGGAAGACTATTGTGCAGGATTACATTTGTTCTCCTCATGCTGAAAGTATGAGGAAGAGAAACCAGATTGTGTTCACCATGGTTGAAGCCGAGTCGGAGTACGTTCACCAGCTCTATATCCTGGTCAATGGCTTCCTCCGGCCCCTGAGAATGGCGGCCAGCTCCAAGAAGCCTCCCATCAGCCATGATGATGTCAGCAGCATTTTTCTCAACAGGTTTGTCTTGGCATAAATTAAAGAGTCATGTGAAAAATGCATATCTATTTCTTAAAAGAATCTTTACTTTACTCTTAAAAGAATAGGTATCATAAATTCACCTTTACGAATGTGTGATATTGAAAATAAGAACACTGTCATTTGTGTTTCATTATTTGTCCAAATTTACATGTCTTTATCTTGCATCATGGCATCTAGTTTTCTGTTTTTTTCCCTCTATTTGACATATGTTTTCTTGTCATTGTGTGGGCATGTATGTGTTGGGAAAGATAACCTCCTTCACAAACTGAGGGAAATGGAGTGAGTAATGGGTCTTTACATGTAATTTATACAGATGTATTTTAGAACGAACAATAACTAACAGAGTGCCTGAGAATCTGTAGCAAATTTATTTTCCTCAATAAATATATATAGTGTTCTTCCTGCTGAGGATTCGTCAGTGAGCAAAGCAGAAATCCTTGCCTTCATGGTACTTAAATTTTGATGTGGGAAAAGAGACAATGAATAGTGAATAAGTGAAATATGTAGTATATTATGTGGTGATGAGTGTTGTGGAAAAAGTCAAGATGGGGAGAGGAGAGGGGGAAAATGGGGGTGCCTGGGTGTTTTATGTAAAATTTAGTAATTTATTTTTGAATACATAATACATTTACGTTGTTCAAAATTCAAAACAACACGAAAATACCAAATAACTCTTGCTTTGTCTCTGCCCACCCCATTTCCCCCATTTTCTGTATTTAACCATTTTCACTAGTTTCTTATATATCTTTCCAGTGTTTCTTGATGTAGATCCAATCAAATATGAATATAGTGTTATTTTCCCCCTTCTTACACAAAAGACAATGAACTTTAATATGTACTTGCCTTTTTCACTTTTTTTAATTATGTTGTTAGTCACCATACAGTACTTCACTAGTTTTTGATGTAGTGATCCATGATTCATTATTTGTGTATAACACCCACTGCTCATTGCAATATGTGCCTTTTTCATTTAACAGTATATTCTAGACATCTTCTGATATTGACATCTAAAGAGCATTCTATTTTTTTTTAAAATCACTACATTGTTTTACATTATGTGAATGTGCCATAGTTTTTCTCTAGCCAGCCTTTGGAAAGGCCTCAAAGATAAGTTGATATTTGAATAAAGAACTTTATCAGTTAGGGCTGTAGGATGAAAACCAGCAGAACGGGTTGTCCTGGAAACCAAGGCAAGAGAGAACGAACTATGTCAAAAAGGTCAATTAAATGATAATTGAGAACTGACCGTGGGTTTAACACAGAGCTTATTGGTAACTTTGATGAGGGGCCAAAGCCTCATTGGAGGGGACTTAGGAGAGAATGGGGGGAAGGATAATAATTGGAGAGAGTTGGTATCAAAAACTCAGTGTTGCTATAGAGAGGAGCCCATAAACGAGATGCTGCCTGCAGGTAAATGTAAAAGTATAAAAAAGTCTGTGTGTGTTTTAAGATGGGATAAAAATTACACTGATAACAAGGGAGAATGATGTAGGTAGAGAGGGGGAAATTGCTGGAGCAATAAACTTGCATAGACAAAAGTGGCTAGAACATGGTGTTCAAGTCAAGCTGGGAGCATAGAGAGGGAGGGAACAGTGCCTTGACACATATGTCATTAGGAAGCAAGGACAAGTGGTGACAGTGCTGATAGAAGGAAAGTGTTGGGGTTAGATAAGAGAAGAAAGGTGTAAAATAATGTAGTATAATTGTTAGGCAGCTGGAAGAGCCTATATTACTCTATTAAGCTGGTGGTCATGCCTTTGCAGTGAGACTAGTCAGGATGGTTGTGTTTTTCTTTAGCCACTTTCAGCTGCATGGGAGCAGGTGCAGAGTAGATGGATGGTTGGCTTATTGCTGTTGCGTGAGGCTAATATGATGAAATGAGAAATGAATAGGGGAGTTGAAGGTATATGCAAAGAAGAGATTATAACAATGAGCCATGGAATCTAAACTGTGTGGAGAGGGAAATGATGGTGTGAGGGGGTTGTGATGACAGGATCATGGCTTACGGTCCTGGTGATGTGAAAGGATTTTTAGAGTCAGAATTCTAAAGGAAGTGAATTGAAAGATAAGGAGGTGGTCAGAGAATAGTTTGCTTGAAACTGAGATAGGAAAGGGATGTAGTTACTGACAATGACAAGGTCTAAAGTATAGTCAAGGGAGTGTTGAGGTCAATGAAGGGTAAGATCCCTACAGGAGAGGAGTTCAAAGGCCCTAGACGCCAGGATATTGCAATGTTGTTTTTTGTGCATATTAGAGTTGCCCAGAATTATGACAGGAGTAATGCTGCAGAGAGGACTGCCAGCGAGCTGGAAACTTGGAGCTCAGAACTCAAAGCATTAAAAGAGTGGCTGGGGAGAGTTCTGCTCCAAGATGGTGATGTCGGAAGACCCTAAACTCACCTCCTCAATGGAACACAACAAATTACACCTATTAATAGAACAGTTCTTCTTGAAGAAGAACTGAGGGCTTGACTGGACAGTTTCTGCACAACCAAAGATAGAGAGAAGGGCAAGAGAATAGCAAGAGAGAGGAAGACATGGTAACAAAGGGACTCAACCCTTGATGCTGCAAACAGCAGTGGGACTGGATAGTACTGAGGGGCCAGGAACAGATTCCTCTGTCCTTGGGTACAGAATAAAAGCCACAGTTTAAAAGAGCAACTGGCATATAAAAAAGAGACAACACCAGAAATTTGCCAAGTGGTGGAAGAGCCACGTGGGTGCTCTCCAAGTCAGAGGGACTGGAGAATGACACGGTCTATGTTCCCGTCCCCCTTTTTTGTTTGTTTTTATAAAAACCCGGAAAAGTAACATATTAGTTTTGTTAGTTAACATGTTCACACACCTACATGTTTGGCTGTATACTCCTTTAAGGAAGTAACGTAAGTGTCCATCAATAGACCAGTGGATAATAATAATACACACACACACACTAGAATATTACACAGCCATAAAAAGGGATGAGATTGTTCCATTTGAAACAATGTGGATGGACCTGGAGGGTGTTATAGTAAGTGACATAAGTCAGACTAAGAAAGAAAATACCATATGGTTCCACTCAAAAGTGGGATCTAAAATTAAATAAATAAGTAAGCAAAAAGGCGAAACTCGACCTATAAATGCAGAGAACAAACTGATGGTTGCCAGAGGAGAGGTGGGTGAGGTGCTGGGCAAAATGGGGGAAAGGGAGGAGGAGATACAGGCTTCCAGTTATGGGATGAGTAAGTCATGGGAATAAAAAGCAAAGCATAAGGAGTACAGTCAGTTGTATTGTAATAGTGATATAACGGGACAGATGGTAGTGAGCATAGTATAATGTATAAACTTGTCAAATCCCTAATTGCACACTTAAAAGTAATGTAATATTGTGTATCAACCGTAGTAAAAAAATTTTTTTGAAGAAAAAGACCAAAAATTTTTGCAATATATTTTAATTCGGCTTTTTAAAGAATTTTTGCATTTATCTTATTTTATTTTATTATTGAAGTATATTTGACATGCAGTGTTATATTAGTTTCAGATGTACAAGGTAGTGATTCAACAATTCTCTACATTACTCAGTGTTCAACAGGATATGTGTACTCTTAATTCCCTTTATTTTACCCATCCCCGAGCCTGCGTTTAAGTTATTGCCAAATATGAGATAAAGGTTATTTTCCCTGGGTATTTATAAAGTGAAAACACTGTAAGGAAGATTTTAGGGACTAAATCATAGATCACAATTAAAATGCATTTAAATATTTAAAAAGGCACAGCTGGGGGTTTATAGATGACTGCAAAAAGAGTGGTTGATGGATGGTTACTTGTTTGTTTGTTTTTTTAACGATTTATTTATTTATTTGAGAGGGGAGGGGCAGAGGGAGAAGGAGAGAGAGAATGTCAAGCAGACTCCACACTGAGCGCAGAGCCCATCTTGGGGCTTGATCTCAAGACCCTGAGATCACGACCTGAGCCGAAACCCAGAGTCAGACGCTTAACTGACTGAGCCACCAGGTGCCCCTGGATGGAAACTTGTTAACAGGGGATTAGAAGCTTGACTTCTCTGTTGTGAGGTGGGAGGGAGATCTCCCCACATTAGATGGCAGTGGCCACATTCAAGTGTGTGGGACATCGCCAGGGACCTCAGGGAGGGCTTCTGCTCCTCAGGCTGCGCAGCTCGCATTTTGGCAATGCATCGGCCAAGAACGTCATTCCAATGGTTCTGAGGACAACGGAAAGGATGGTAAACTGCACTCTGCACCGCATTGGTCTTAGGTCACCTCTGGGGATTTGTTTCCGTTGGATTGCCTGATCTGCAATGCGGAAGGCCAGGCTTGTCATATTGTTTAAATTCGGAGTCAGGATGTGCTGTGCCTCTTCTTGGAAGGCAAGGCTGTAAGCTCTTCACACAGTTAGCAGTTGATTACGATACCTAGTCCTTAATGGAGATTTGAAGAGGTATGTTTTGATTTTTTGATTTTATTTATTTTTAAGATTTATGTTTTTATTTTTATTTTTTTACTTGTTTTTTTTTGCTTTTTAAAAAAGTTTTTATTTTAATTCCAGTTAACATACTGAGGAGGTATGTTTTTAAAGCTGAGGCTTATAGGGTGTTGTCATTGCTGTTGTTTAACTGGATTCCTTTCCTTGCTTTGCCTAAGTGGGAGGTACAGGCTTCCAGTTATGGCGGGTCAATTTTTTTGAATTTCTTTTTTTTTTTTTTTAAGATTTTTAAATTTATTTATGAGAGAGTGAGCAAGTGGGGGGACGCAAAGGGTGAGGGACAAGCAGACTCTGTGAGCGTGGAGCCCGATGAGGGGCTCATTCTCACGACCCCGAGATCATGACCTGAGCTGAAACCAAGTCTGATGCTCAACCCACTGAGCCACACAGACGCTCCGATGTTTTTGAATTTCAACAGAGTTTATACTTAAAAAGAAAAATAACCTCCCTATCTACGTGCAAGATTGTTTCGTCTCTTTTCTAACCATCAAGGTATCAAATATGAAAGTAGATATATCAGTTATATACATTTTCAATGTAGGAAAGAAAAGCCTCTCTGTGAGCAGAGGGAGTTCACTACTTACAGAAGTCTTGGGAAGAGCTGGAGGAGTAAGGTCAGGGAGCTGCCCCCGGAGCTTTGAGTTCAAGGGCACAGCACCACAGACATGCTTCAGTGGTTAGCACAGTACGACCACCACCATTGCCTTCATATCTGCCTCTCAGGTCCGGGAAGCTGTTGTCTAGAAACTAGGACGGTGAAGCTGGGTGCTGGAATGGCCCCTAAAACACACACATCTCCATGACTGATTTTCAGCAACAGGAAGATCGCCTCTACTCCTGTCTTCCGTGTCTTACCAAGTGCATCCGTCGGTGCAACGGGTAGAACTGAACTCACATCCAGAACCGCATTGCCAAGGAGGCTGGGGAGCGTAGCTTTAGCTCTCCATCCCGTCCACCTAGAAGGAGGACGGGATGGAGGTTGAAAGACCAATACACAATATGCACCAAACTAGATTTGGTTGAAATCCTTGCACAGCCAACACCGCTTGGTTAACATTTCTGTAAAAGAAAAACAAATTATCCTCTTCAAGCAGTGTGTTTTTTGTTTCAGGGACCATTTGGAAAAAGTTCAGGATTTCCCATTGATGTTTATGTAGTGGAATTTGACTTCAGCAAACCAGAGTATCTCACTTACATGAATGATTCTATATTTAATTGTGTCGATGTGTTAGTTCAGAAAAGGCTTTAGAGGTTCATGCCAGTGGGTGAATTGTAATGAGGAGAAAGCAAAAGTTGCTTTCTTGAACCTTTTAGAAATTTGGACCTCTAACAATGCATAGTTCTTATTTTAGTAACTCCATGTAGGCTTCGTCCTTTTCAGAGGATTCTTTCACATTTCTGTCTTGGGAGTCTTAGGAGTGATTACAATAGAGTTCTGCCAAACCTTTGCTATGGACTTTTTCCCCTCTCTCCTGTCAAAACTCATTTTGATTAAAGAGAGTCCTTTCCCTGAGTTATCATGTAAAATCAAATCTAAGAGAAAAAGGATCACAACTAATTTTTTGATTATCAGTTGAAGTGCTACATTCTAACAGTAGAAAGATGTTTCTATTATAAATTGATAAAGAGAGTTATATGACAGTGATTTGGTACTTACTCTCTTCCAGTATTTGAAGCTTAGCTCAGAATTTTCTTTGAATTTTTAAGATTGTCTGGAAGGGGGATGCCTGGGTGGCTCAGTCGGTTAAGCATCTGCCTTTGGCTCAAGTCATGGGGATGGAGCCCTGCATCAGGCTCCCTGCTCAGAGGGGAGCCTGCTTTTCCTCTCTCACTCCCCCTGCCCGTGCTCTCTCTCTCTCTCTCTGACAAATAAATAAATAAAATCTTAAAAAAAAAAAGATTGGAAGGCACATTGCTTTGTGAGGGCTAGTGCAATCCATGTTATTATTGGGTATATAGTTTGGAGGCCCTGGGAGACATGTATATCATGTATTTATTAAGACTTTAAGGACTCAGTGGGCTTCTTTAACAAATAGACACTTTACAATGACTGGATTATATTATTTTTCCATTTTTTTTTTATAGTGAAACGATCATGTTTCTTCATGAAATATTTCACCAAGGACTGAAGGCAAGGATAGCAAACTGGCCTACTCTAATTTTAGGTAAGTGCATGCTTTAGAGGTAAAAGATTTTCTCTTAATATGGCTACAATTAAAGTAAAGTAACTTCAACATCATTGAGCCCACATTGTCTGAGTTTCCCCATTGACCTGTGAGCTTCCTTGGGTACTGGGCTTATTTTTCATTGCCCTTCCAGCCCTTTCCCCTGGCCTGTCACGGTGCATCTGGGGCTAGAGTTGCGCCCCACCCCCAGGTTCATTCTACCAGATCTATCAGTCATTCAGGCATCTGAAGTGGGGGGCCCCGGGCACATGTGACCCCGGTGCTGGGAGCCCCTCTCGGCCAGTCCCATGGAGTGAACAGAGCCTCTCCTCATCCCTCGAGAATTTACCAAGCACAGAGAGAAACTGCCATGTTTACTTCTTTTTTCCAGCTGATCTGTTCGATATTTTGCTCCCCATGTTGAACATTTATCAAGAATTTGTGCGTAATCACCAGTACAGCCTCCAAGTGCTTGCCAACTGTAAGCAAAACAGAGATTTTGACAAACTCTTGAAACAGTATGAAGCCAACCCTGCCTGTGAGGGGAGAATGCTGGAAACGTTCCTGACCTATCCAATGTTTCAGGTAAGTCATCTGGGGCACATCTCATAAGTCAGTGATTGCAGTCTGGTGGTGCTGGTACCTCGGGTGACCAGAGCAAGGTGTGCAAGGATGCCCTGTGGGGGATTATGGCACAAGTGCGTTGTCTGTCGTCTTGAGCTTGACCCTGAGATAAACAAATATATGCCATCCATTTTCTCTCTGTGTAGTATAGGGAAGAAAAGCGGGCATCATTTTGTTGTTGTTGTTGTTGTTTTAAACCAGGCATTTTTGGAGCAATTAAATCAGGAAGGATTTTTTGCAAAGTAGCACAATTTTCTCTTTACAGAAAGATTCCACACAGACTTCTTCCATGGAGTCTCCTCCTCCAGCATGTTTAAAAATATTATCAGGTTTACAGAAATAGGGTGCTGTGCAAAAGTTCCAGTATATGCTGGTTGCATAAAAGGCTTCTGCGGGGTGGAGTGGCTGCTGGGAAAGTCTTTGTTTCCTGCCCATCCTCCCTGCCCTATTACAATTGCTGTTGAAGCTCGTCTGAGCTGGTCTGGAGCTCTGGGGAGCAAAAGGAGGACGTGCTGGGTCACAGAGGCTGTGGAGACATAAGGGTCTGGAGGCTCTGGCTGGACCTGGGGACTCTTGGCCCCTAGTTGGGTTGCTGCCTTGAGGCTGGGGCTTGTCCTTACGTTTACTTTTTGGCATTAGAGCACCCTGAGGGATCGAGCACACTTGTGTTCTTGCCTGTAGCTAGGGCTTTACCGTGAAGAGTCCTTGAGTGAGGACAGCAGAGGCCAAAATGTGAATTGAATCTCCTGTTCTTTTGAAAAGTGTAGATTCTGTTCTTTTGGACAGGCATTGAGTGTTCTCATTGTGGAATTTATGGGGCTTCTGGCCAGGCCTCCAGATTGTCATGTGGTAAACCAATTCTCCTAATCATGTGTTAGGGCTTCTGCGGAGAGCTTTGCCCCCCTGAACAGGCATCACTGACCCCAGCTGATCATTTTGTAGCCTCCGAAAGAAATGTTGCTCTGGTTCATAATTGTTTATCCTAAAGTTTGTCAATTCTGCTTGAAATCCTGGAAGTCACCATAGAGGTTTAGTAAGATTTTTAAAAACCAAAAGGATGCATTTGAAACAACTTAAATATAGTGAAACTTTATAATGTTATTGTGTTCTTTCATGGAACTGAGTTGTTTAAACTCTTTGCCTCTCTGAGGAAATATTTTGCAAGAAAAACTTCAAAGCAAAAAAAAAAAGTTTGCTTTTCTTTTAACCTTATAAAAATTGTAATTTAAGCTTTTATTTATAGTGAAACAAACTTTATATAGTGCAATGCTCTGAGATTCTGTTTGAACCTTTGGCAGTTACCTCCGGGTTAGGACTAAATACCCGAAATTGTGTCTTTTTGGCAACTTCATTTCAGGTGAATATTCAAAGGTAGAGTGGTGAAAGGCACATGGAACATTCAGGGAGGTACTTAGCTCCCTTTCTGACAGCCCACTGATGTCTTCCCGAGGCCTATTTGATTTCCCCTTGGTCTTATTCAGTGTTTTAAAATGCCACAACTGCACTTGCATGTTAGGGGAGGTGTCCAAACACAGTAGAATGTAGGGCCTTGGAAAGCCCTTCGGATCACCTTACAAATGCTGAGATACTCTCCTACCACCTGCCCTCCTTTGCCCTGGAGTATAAGCCCAGTCAGAATGACTTGGCATTTTGATTGACTCCAAGGAATTCCCATAATGTCAGGAAAGGACAGTTGGACTGAGAATCTTTAGGAGACCTGGATGTCTTGCTCACTCTTCAGTTGTACCATTGAGGAAAATAATTGAACTAATCTAAATCTCGGTTTCTTACTCTTAAAATTGAGGCACCTGAGCTCTAGTCATCTCCCAGAGCTCTAGCTATCTGAATCTGTGATCCTAGGGGGACTACACCGGTTCTGAAAGTCACTCTGTGGCAGTGCAAGGAGCCTGGTGTTTGTCCAAGAATCCTTATCCCAAGACTGTGGTGGCCCCAAACCCTAGAATTTAGCTGAAGGGTCAGATGTTGAGGTTCTCTGGCTTCTTCCAGACCAGGGTAACCAAAGGCACTGGTTATGAGAGCCATTGTTCTGGGAGAAACCTCAAACTTGAAGATAATTTAGCCAGCGTTGGTCCAAACTGCAAGAAATGTGCAAATGGAAAGAACATGGAACTGTGCTATTTATTTATTTGCTTCCCTATAACTATTTTGAACAGACCAAGCGGGGAAGCCCCATCAGAATTTGCTACCTAAGAGCCTCATTCTCCTTGGGTGTCTCTCCTCTGCCTTGTTCGCTTGGTGTCTCTTCTTCCTGCCTTCTCCCTAGGAGTGACCCTGTGGGACACTTGGGGGAAAATTGCCCTTTCTGGAAGCTTGAAGGTTTTTTTCTTCCTAGGTTCGTTCTGTCCTTCTTGTTCCCTTTGGGTTCTTTCACAAATGCGGGGAAATAGTCATGGAAGCGTTGGCTCCCTCGGAGGGTCTAACTGTTGCTATTTCCCTCTGCACGCTGTGTAGCCGTACCTCGACACCTCCTCCTTGCTCTAGCAGAGGCTGGACCTTGGGCCGAGGTGGAGGCACCACACTTCTTTTGCTATAAGGCAGCAGTAGAAGATGTGACCCTAGTTCATGCCACCAAGGGACCTCTGGCCAGACTTTTTCTTGAGTCTAGACATGGGGGCGGAGGTTGGTGTGGGCACAGGGGAGAGGCGATTGGCAGCCTTTAGCCTGTGTATGTGTAGAAGAGGAAAAGTGTGATATTCTTCCTTTTTCTGGGCCCTTCGTCAAGTCCATTGTTGCTGTTAATGTCCTATGGTGAGCTATGGAAACACGGGGGAATTGTAGAATTTGGATGATGCAGTAAATTTATCCTCAATTGAACTATCAGACCAGTAAGTCCAGGTGTTGCCAAGAAAAAAATTTGTTATGGAAAATAATGTAGTCATTAACATAATTTTTCATTAGCAAAGGCAGTGGCTTGAAGGGTACTGTTTAAATTGGCTTCAGCTGCTCATAAGTCCATAGGTAAGCCACTCATGAGATCTGCCCCTGACAAGAACAGTGGTGTGAGATGTTCTCCAGAAAGTAGCCACTTGCAGCTCTAGCCGCCTAGTCACTGTAATTGGAGAGCCAGCTAATTAATGTCTATAAAGTGACAAATATTGTTCCATAACTGAAAGGAGAATTAGATTCGTCTGGACAGCACTTACTGTGATTCTTGGTTTTGAGGTGAAACAGATTTATAATCAGCTCTTGACTATACAGATGAGCTCTTTGGAGAGTCGTCCACTTCTCTGCAGAACGTCCTTTCCCGGCTTTTTGGCAGCTTCAGGCTTGTTTGTTCTTCCACCAGAAAGTTGAAAGGGCCAGTCTCCGAATTTCAAATCCATCTACTTGAATCTTAGCCAAGGAGCTCTCTAAAATAGATTTAATTAATGGGGGAAGATCATGAAGCTATTGACTAAACTTAGTTTTGTGGGTTTTCAGTGCATGCATTATAAATGTCAGGCTCTCCCACTCCTACCTTCTTTGTTATGAAAAATGTAGTGCATTAGCTGTTGATTGCCTTGATTTTCTTGTAGGACTGCTGACTTAGAGGCAAACTTACCCATCATGACATTGTGCAGAAGGGATATGTGAAAGTATACGTATCCCAGGGGCCTTTACCAGGAGAAGTTTTATGGGACGGAGAGACAGAAAGCGTCCTCCACATGTCTTACAGAGGAAGGAGTCTCCCTCCTCTAAGGAGTCAGTCTGAACTTCCCAAACCTTAATATGATGACATTCCCTAGGACACGGTCCCAGAGTATCAGCTGCAGATCCATGTCTGTGCTCGTGGCACTGCCCTTTGTGCTCATGCATAAACATGGGCTTTCAGTAAACCACAGTAAGTAACCCAGTGAAGGGCACCACCTGAACGAGAGCAGAAGCAGATCCATGGATAGAGCCGCTAACACCTCAGGACAGGATGGAAGGAGCTAGGCACTGCATCCTGTTTTACTTTCTTCATTCTCAGAAGTCCTTGCAAGGGCCGAGTGATACCCCAGGCCCCACAGAAGAGACCCAGTGGGTTCGTGCACCCGTTAAAGTCATGAGCATGGTTGGCTCTGGCATTTACTGTGAGACCACCTTGGGCAGGTCACCAGACTGCTTCACACTTTGTTTCCTCCTTCTCTCTGAAAAATGGAGAAATAACCCTTATGTTGCTGTGAAGGTTTGGGTGTACACGCCAACCTCGAGCTCTGATCTGACCCATAGCAGGCAGTGTTATGATACCTGTGGTTCATGCATGTTGTTATTAAAATTAAGGCCGCTGCCTCAGCTTTCTAAAAAATTTTAGTCTGTAAGCCAGTAAAAAATGAATATGTAGGATCGCTATAACTTGAGTTAAATCTCTACAGTGTTCTATTAAAATCTTCATAGGGCCGGTGGAGTTTCTGCTTTTGACAGAATTCAGGTAGTTTATCCATAAACAAAAGTATAAGTAAATAATGTAATTAACAATACTTTTTGCTGCTAGAAGGACGAGTTAGGGTAAAGTAGGATGAGAATTTAATAAAGGTGAGTATATCTTCTCCCAAGTTTTAATTCTTAGAACATTGCAGTAGGATTGTGAATTTAAAAAAAAATTGTGGGGGTGCCTGGGTGGCTCAATCGGTTAAGCATCTGACTTTGGCTTAGGTCATGATCTCAGGGTCCTGGGATCAAGCCCCGTGTGGGGCTCCCCACTCAGTAGGGAGTCGGCTTGTCCCTCTCTCTCTCTCTCTCTATCCCTCCCCCCTCTCGTGCTCTCTCTATCTCTCAAATAAAAAAAAAATTGTGAACGAATATATCTAAAATACAGACTCATGTGACTTGATAATTGCTTTATGTTTCCCTATGAGCCAATTTTCAAATCTTATGATTAAGAAATATATGATTATATTAAAAAATCTAAAGAAACAACTGTTTCTTTGGAACATAATATTTTATTACTCTCTTCTTGTGTTCTTGGTGAATGTGTGTATGTGTATGTGTGTGAAGTTTGAAGCATAGTTCATTTCAAAACTGTTAAAGTAGAGATGAGCCTCTCAGACATGATGATGGCACAGTAGAGAACATCCCAGGGTTACTCATCCTGACCTCTTGCTCACGATGGCCTTTATTTGCATTTAGATCCCCAGGTATATCATCACACTTCATGAACTCCTAGCTCATACACCCCATGAGCATGTGGAAAGGAAAAGTCTGGAGTTTGCTAAATCGAAACTAGAGGAACTGTCCAGGTATGTGGAGAACTGATAATAAAGGCTTGATTCGAGAAAGCAGTAAGTTGGTCTCTGTGGAAACCTAATATATTTATGTCCAGGGAGCAAGAAGCAAGGCATAGTCCAGCTTCTCAGATTCACCTGAACGTGAAATGCTAGCTCTTCAGATGGTACTGAATCAGCATACACATTAATTTTAACCAAGAAAAAATACATCTTTGAAAATGTTTTTATAGCATGTGAATTTATGTAATTGAGATTATAGGTGTATTTGGGTTTAAATTCGAAAATGTTAACATTTCTTTTAGCGTAATAGGGGAAAATGATTTTTAGTTGTATCTTTGTGTTCATAGTTGACAAGAAGCTAGAGAATGTGTATTTTGGATTTTTCAGTGAGTTTTCACTGTTTCAGGGAATTATTTACCTCCGTGTTCCTTTAGCTTATATGGAATAAATGGATGAACGTCTCTAATTTGCTCCACCTCTGAGGAAGGGCATTCTAATTTCAGTGAAGGGAGCTGTTCATAAAATAATATGTTGCTTTCCTGTTGCATTTATAAGCAACATGCCCAGGGTACTCATTGGGCACTGACCCACTTGTCATTTAGAATCGTGATGTACATTGGCTTTGGTTTGAGTCATGGCTGGTTGAAGCCTGGAGGTCTGCTCTCCCCACAGCCTCAGCTGTACTGATCCAAGCTCAAAACTGAGCTTCCCAGAGAGAGCTCTTTGCATACCGGCTGGGGCTATAGAAAATCTCTCTCCCTGTGATCTGTCCGTGCTGTGTCTGACAGGATAATGCACGATGAAGTGAGTGACACTGAAAACATAAGGAAGAACCTTGCCATAGAAAGAATGATCGTAGAGGGCTGTGATATTTTGCTGGACACCAGCCAGACTTTCATCCGCCAAGGTAAGTCCTTGTTCGGTGGACCCACGGTCTTAACGATCTCTGCGACTGTCACATTATCCCTGGCAGATCCTGGAAGGCATTTTGGAGCAGGCCTCATGGAGCTGTGTGATTGATACTGTTCGCGCAGGACATCCCCCTGGCTTTGACCGAGGCTGTGCGTGAGGCCCACCTTTGTGCTGTTTCTTTTCAGGGGCCATGAAAAACAGCAACACAATAATAGTAAAGCACGAGTGGGACAGTAAATTACATTCTGACTGGACTCTCCTCCTCAGTGGACCAGACATTCTCTACAGCTCCAAGGAGGACAGATCGGTCTGGCCCATGAGAGTGGCAGTGCCAGGTGGCGACGATACACAGGCCAAGGCCCAAGAGAAACTTGCGTTACTCAAAGCCCTTTCCCATAGCGGTGGGGACAATGTCCGAAGTGAGAACAGCTGTCTCTTGTTCCCCTTCTTCATCAGCACTTCTGGATCAGCCCCACATGATATGATTTGATTCTGTTGGCAACTCTAGTTGCCCGGTGAAATGTCTCTTGACCCCTGCCAGGCTTTGGTAATGGGGAGTGGGTCTTGTCTGTGGGGTGGGTGCTTGGCAAGCATCCCCTAGTATACAAAGCTTTGGAAGTGTTGAAGCTGTGGAGAAAGCAGCCACCGAACAGCGCAGCTCCCTCCAGGGCCCTAAACCCCGTCCAAAGTCCTTTTTCAGTGCTTAGGTGTTCTGAGGGAAGGGAGCATGCCCCATGGAGTTGATCTGAGACGATACATTGCGCACATTTTTAGTTTTGGATTTGGTGAGCAGTGGCACATGAATTTAGAACTAGGATTAACCTTTAATGTAGTTTCTGTTCCTAACGTGCTGGTATCATTGGAGATATTTGCATTTCCATTGCCTACCAAAATGTGCTGCTTAGCATTTTTTTTTTTACCTCATCCAACAAGACATTGTTTGAGTTGTGAACATACATTTTTTTGCACAGAATACTTAAAAAATGTAACACGCGCTCTTCTATTTTCCATTATTTATTTACAGAGAGAGAAATTACACATATGTTCAAGTTTGGAAGTATATTTTAGGAAATGATAACTTTTCTCATTTTTGGCTTTTGATATTGATTTTCCTTTAAATATAGCGCAGTATAATGCTAAACAACATCAGGCCTCCCTAATCCCCCTCTGTTCCTCCGCACAGACTGTGTCCCCACATGGCTTCCTGCCTTCCTGGCCCTTGCCTGGCTCTGTGCCTTCTCGTGCGCTGTCCCTAGCCCGGGGATGGGGACTGCCTTTGTCCCTCCCCTCTGTGCCTATCAAAGGTCTGCGTGTCCTTCTGGGCTCAGGTCAGACTCCTCTAGGGAGCCTTTTACAATTTTCTCCTCATCTTTCTCTCCCCTTCCCTCCAGTTAGAATGACTTTACCTTCCTCCTGGTTTCGAGGCCCCTCCCTCCTCGTGCATGTTTTATCCTCTGGTTCATTATAGGTACACATTGGCACGCCTGTCGCTCCCAGCCATTATAACTCTGGAGGGCCGTGTTTATGAATTCTCTCCTGCCTTATACGCTGCTTTCCATTGTAGATACTTGAAAGACGGGCATTGGAGTAAATTGAATTGCTTGTTGAATTGCAGTTTGGGTTGTTAGATGTCTTGTTTTGTATTTTTCTTGTATTTGAAGTTCATGGAAAAAATACTAATTGACTAGAGCTTTAGAATACATGAGAATGCAAACAAATGTTTCTGTAACTAGTATTCTATTTCTGAAAGGCCTTTTGATTGAAAAGTATTATGCATAAACATTTATTTCTACAAACTTAGACTGCTCTTATCTAAGTTTGAAAAAAAACATCTCTAATGAAAAATGCTGGAAGGCCGAGTATATTGAATAAGTCATTTTTTTTTTCAATGCACCTGGAGGAAAAGCCCTCACAAGCCGCCTCTCCCTTTGATTCCTGTCCAGATGTTACTGATTGCCTGTTTGTGCCACATGTTTAAAGCACTTCTGTCAGCTATTAATATATCTGATGTTATTATTGTATTGATGTTGATATAATGATTTGTCTTTACAGTATTTTTCTGTATTGTTTGGCTGGTTAGTGTGTTTAGGAATTATTCAATAAAGTTGGTTTTAAAAAATCAGACCTGAATCTGAAAGTAGAAAGGAATCCAATTACATATAATTTGGGAAGTTTACATTGTTTTGCTTTGGTTGCTCCTATTATTACTTCTCCTTAATACCCTTAACAGACTTTAAAACCCAGTGAGGTGGGTTTCTTATTCTTTTAAACTTTGAAGGATTCTATTTTCTTTGAAATGGACTACAACCTAGCTCTAATTGTCCACTAGTATTTGTGTTACTTACTTTTAGGGAAGGTATGAGGTATGTTTCTGTGTGTGTGCACGCGCGCACGTGTGCATATGCACAAATATATGTGTGGTTTTAATCTTAAATGAATTGTTATTCTGAGGACTAGAAAAAAGAAACCATCCAGGTCACCCAAAAGGCCTCCTTGGAATAGGGGCATCACCTAATCTCAAATCTCAATCTGTGGGAATTTAGTGATTGATATCACAGAAGCTTTATTGTAAATTGTTTCTAATGATTAAACAGTTGATGAGCAGGATGCAAAGGACTATATCATATTGCGGTCTGATAATGTCATTTATTTTCTTTCTTTTTTTTTTAAATTTATTTGCTAGAGAGAGAGAGAGAGAGAGTGAGTACAAGCAGGGGGAGTGGCAGAGGGAGAAGCAGGGAGCAAGGAGCCCGATGCGGGACACAATCCCAGGACCCTGGGATCATGACCCGAGCCGAAGGCAGACGCTTAACCGACTGAGCCACCCAGGCGTCCCAATGTCATTTATTTTCTAAAGTCTACTCAGAGTTTGTTGAACTAAAGTGTAAGAGTCCAAGGCAACAATAGGAAGACAGCATAACCATGTCACTGGACGTCAAATCCTGCCCCCTCCTCTTCCTTGCTGTAGGATACTGGGCAATTTACTTAACCCTCCTTTGCCTCCGTTTGCTCTCCTTGCGTTGGAGTTAATAGTACCCAGCTTTTCGGGATGTGGTGAAAATGACACGGACTAATAATGCTCACAGGACCATCTAGACTAGTGCCTGTGTGAGTATGATGTAAATTTAAAAACCAAGATCCAAATTTTGAAATGAGTTTCTATTTTTCAGTAACATGAAATATATATGAATATTTAGTAGACGATAAGGCACCTTACTAAGTTGACATTTTGCACAAAACCGTTCTACATAGTCAACGTCTTGTGGAAATGTGACTCAGGATCATTAAGTGAAGGTGACCGAATTCAGAGCTAAATGCATTGAGAATGAGACCTGGACCTCTGTGGTACCTTAATCATTCCCAGACTGGAAATTATGTCCTTTCAGTGTAGCAGTGTTCTTTGGAATTGTAACATGGGGTCTGGAAATAATTGTACCTCCTCAAATACCTAACCAAATAACCTGGAAATTGCTCTTCGTTGCTTCTCACTACTGAGTGGAATGAAGAATAAGGGCGTTAGCCGGTCCTGAATGCCACTCTTTTGGAATTTAGTGATTGAATTAACAGAAGCTTTGTTGTAAATTGACCCCAATTATTAGGTTGAACGGTGATAGAGATGCAAGGCACTGTGTTGCAGCAATGGTCTGATACTGAGGAATTACTAATTTAATACTAAATATTCCTTTAACTTGTATTAACTAGAGGGGAGTCCCCAAGTCTTATAGTTGTGTTGAAACACCAGGTCAAACATAAGATAAAATGTGAAAAAAATATCCACCTAACATGTTTTTTCCAATATGATTATTTTATAAACCAAACAATAGTGTTGAAATTACTCACTTTTAATTCTGATGTATAGACTTCTGTATATACCTAATATACATAGCGAGATCAACAGTTACAGATCAAGCAGATTAGTGTATCGTTGCTAATGAAACATTAATTTTTTTTTACCTGAAAGGTGAAATTCACAGATTATTAACATATGAGCTAACAGTGTATTCTGTAATTTCTGTTTTACAAAATCATTAAATGCTAGAAGCACTTAACACATAATATTGAGTCTTCATGAACTTGGTTACCTTTCTGAAAATGACTCCTACACCTGTTTATCCACCAAGATATTTGTTTTAAGCTCCACTCTGCCCTAACTGATCTCACGACCACCCATGGCAAAGCTAGAATGTACTGTCTTCTCCCATCCAATCCCTTTCCAAGGGTCAGTTTTAATGTTGCTGAATCCACTGCTGTCTCCTGGCCATGCCACTCACTCTGGTGTGATCTTAAGAGAGCTGCTTAGCCCCTCAGGCCTCAGTTTTCTCTTCTGTGAAATGAGGGGTGAATCAGGTCCTCTTCTGAAAGAGCTCCTCTGGCTTTCATTCCAGCCCGTGAGCCCCATGAGTATGATCCTTCTGCTATTACTCGCTCATTTACTTCTCTAGGCATTCTGCCTTCTGCTCTCCCCACCCCTCCTTTACTTTTCAAATTTAATTACTTGCTGCTTGTGCTCTCTGACAGCTTGCTCCCACCTGCCTCACCTCCTCCTTTCCCTCTCCTCTTGCCTGTTCCCTTCAGCGGAGTCAAGCCTTCTGCCCCTTGTTCCTCAGTCCCACGCCCTCCCCCAGGACTCTTTCCATGCTATTCTTTGCTCCCCCCCCCCCCCCCCCATAGCTGCCTACTCTGCCTCTGTCAGGCAGCCCCACCTAAACACTCACCTGAATAGATGGAATCTGCACATGGAGGCTTGGATCCCACCCACTCCCCACTCCCTCACCCCCACCCCAGCCCCACCCTTCTTTAGATCTCTGTTAAGAAGTAGATGCTATTTGGAATATTCATATGCTAATGTGAACATTTTGTGACCCACACAGTCCTAGTTTTACCATTTTACATATACGAACAACTTTAGTGGGGTTTTCACCACTTACGGAAGTAATCTATGCTCATTAAAAAATAATCAAGAAATGCAGAAAATGTATGAAGAGGAAATGAGGTTGCCTGCAATCTCGTTTTTTAGTGCTGACCCCTGTTAATATTAAAGGGTTGGATATGCATTTAATGGTTCTTATGGGACTGATACCTGCCTTTGTAAGGCTGCATTTGGGGTAGGTAGTAGATTGAACAAATAGTAGAAATATTGCTGACTCAAGGTAATTCAGAAGTCAAGGTATTTACAAGAATATTTCCTAGTATTTTTTGGTTTGATATCTAACTTAGATTGGAATTTTATTTTGTGGGGAGAGGGAGGTCATTATTAAGGTGAAATTATAAAGTCTCTGTACAGCTTCTCACATTGAATGGAAGACACAGGTTTGCTCACAGGAATGCTCTGGGTATAGACTTCATGACTTCTTTTCCATTTAGATTTCACAAAGAACTTTTCTCACACTTTATTTTTATTTATTTATTTATTTATTTATTTATTTATTTATTTATATTTTATTTGAAAGAGAGCAAGTGAGAGCACAAGGTGGGGGAGAGGCAGGGGGAGAGGGAGAGAGAGAGAACCCAAGCAGCCTCCACACCCAGGACAGAGCCTGTGTGGGGCTTGATCCCACAACCCCGAGGTTACGGCCCGAGCCAAAATTAAAGAGTCAGACACCCAACTGACTGAGCCACCCAGGCGCCCCATCGCACATAATTTCAATAGAACCTGAAATAGCTGCCCTTTAAAAATTAACTAAATTGCATTGAATTGTATAATTTGTGTATCTTTATAATATACATGCATTGTAAATTTTATTTTTTAAATACAAAGTAAACTCTACTAATATGCTCTTTGTCTACCTTCATGGCCTCAGGAAGAATAAATTCTATTTTCTTTTTATTATGTTGTCATTATTATCATATGTAATTATACAATATGTATCTTATTCTTAAGTAAAGAGCTTGACTGAGATCAGATCACCAAGGGACAGATGGCAGACATGCCTTGTTGTTTGAATCCCAGTTTGGCTTTCTTTCAAACTTACTGTAAAGTTTATAGATGAATAATCAATGAGTCTGAAATGTTTTACAAAAGTAGTAGGAATTGCTTGGACCCTTAAGACCCAATGCATTGTCTCTTCTGCTCAGAGTGTAGCGGGTTTACTTCCAGTGAGTGGTGCATCGAATAAGTCCCTGGTATCTTGGGAAACAGGCCCTAGAGTTTGTTGCATCAACAACAGCTCTCACTTGACAGAATTTTAATTGCTGTGTATTCTTCACTTTTGTGATCACCAGGTTCTCTTATTCAAGTACCTTCTGTTGAGAGGGGGAAACTTAGTAAAGTTCGCCTGGGTTCATTGTCTTTGAAAAAGGAAGGAGAAAGACAGTGCTTCTTATTTACAAAACACTTTTTAATTTGTACGAGAAGCTCAGGAGGAAAGCTCCATCTGCTCAAGGTACGGGTTTACATGACTATTCCACTTATGTCCATGCACTTGAGAGGTGCTGAGGTTAATTTAATTATGGCTTTCCCATGCCTAGTATCAAAAAACCCAGACTGTCACAGGTGCGTAGTGAGGCAACCATGCAGTTGCTAAGCTTGACATGTACTTTGTTGTCAGTTGTATCCAAAATAATAGAAATTTAAGTGTGTGTTTCCATAAAGAAGTGCAATTAAAATCATCACCTGGAAAGAACAATTACTGTTGAGCTACAGAAGTCCTGTTAAATCACTACAGTGTACTGATCTAATATTTGCTAAACGCTATTTTATCTTGCCCTATACGGAGTCAGCACACCACGGCCCACAGCCTGCTGCCTGTTAATATAGCTTTTTTTTTTTTTTTAAAGATTTTATTTATTTATTCATGAGAGAGAGAGAGGCAGAGGGAGAAGCAGGCTCCCCGCCGAGCAGGGAGCCCAATGCGGGACTCGATCCCAGGACCCCGAGATCATGACCTGAGCAGAAGGCAGAGGCTTAACCGTCTGAGCCACCCAGGCACCCTTAATACAGCTTTATTGTCACACAGCCACGCTCGTGTGCTTACCTATTGTCTGGCTGCTCTCATGCTTTTAAAAATGGCAGATTTGAGTAGCTGCGATAGAGATCATATGGCTTGCAAAGCCTAAAAGATTTACTATGTGGCTCTTTATAGAAAAAGTTTGCCTACCTATACGTTCTGTTAAGAGTGCCTGCCTTCTCACCCGGCGCCATGATGATGGTTTTCCACTGCGTACAGCGCTTCCTGGTTAGTGGGCTCAGCTGTATTCACTCTCAAGGTGCCAACTAGTCTCCCACGGGCCGACCTGCTCAATTTATAAACACTGGGAGTGAGCGTCGGTTGGGGGTGAAGAATCATGAAGTTCAGGGAGTTTAATTGCTTTTACACAACTAAATTTAGTTTTGGAATCTATGAAAAATTATTTGTGATACAGGACTGTTGTGCTTTCTTCTGTGGCAATTTGAATAAAGGTTTATAAATCTGAGCTTCCCAACGTATGCAAGACTGTCAGCCTCTTAATGAAACATTGGTTTGTTTCCAGACAGGTGGGGTTCTCTCTCTAATAGAATGTACGTTGATTGAGGAGCCCGATGCGAGTGATGATGACTGTAAGTCACATTCTATGTCTTAGAATTATGGTAGAATAACAAGGTCTTACGGTTTTTATCTACTTATAGCTAAGAAGAGCTGCTTAAGGAGGCAGGGAAGATGTTGAAAATACACTCCCTGAAGTCATTTATATATGAAAAGTTCTGTTGAATCATTTAACCTGTGAACTTCGTTAAACCATCTTTGGGAGTTCATATTTTACTGAATTTGTCTCATGATAGTGACTTTTTCAGTGGCAGGCAGAGAAGAAAGGAGTTGAATTAGAGAGTGTTGAAATTCTGTAGATTATGGAAATTAAAAAAAAAAAAAAGAAAGAAAGAAAACAGGAAATGAGTAGGAGCCAGGGATCCTAGTCCTGAGTAACCTGCTGACCTCAGCTTCTTTATCTACTTCTGAACTTAGTAAAGGCTTCCCCTTGCCGGAGAAGTACACATGTTGCTGAAATGAGATTCTGGATTTGAACACACATCAGTCATCTTAGTAGAACTCTGTGAAAGCAGCTATCACTCATATTTTTGTATTCACATCTAATTGTTTGCTTTGCGTGTGTTGAAGCCAAAGGTTCTGGGCAAGTGTTTGGACACCTGGATTTTAAAATAGTAGTGGAGCCTCCTGATTCCGCCCCTTTCACTGTAGTCTTGTTAGCACCTTCACGCCAGGAGAAAGCTGCCTGGACGAGTGACATAAGTCAGGTAAGCAAGTGGCTTTTGCCGTAAGTTGTGTTGTTGCTGTTGCTGTTTTTAATTTCACAACATAAACTTGGTGGGGGGAGATTTTAGTTATTTTGTTTTTATTAACAAACTTACATCTGGTTGCTGTGGTCACTGCCATCACCCCTGTGTATCTTGTTAGCTGGGACCATTTGTTACTGTTGTTTGTTTTTCTTGGTAAGGTTAAAATTTACCTGAAATGTGGTACTTGCATTTTAATTCCTGGGCATTTTTGTACAGGCTGTAAGTGTAATCAGTTGTGTTGAGCAGTGTTAAAATTGCCCTGTTAGCAGTAGATTCTCCAGTGACCCCCCACTAGATTATCTTATGCTTACTTGTTTCTGAGGTAGGAAAATGGTGAGAGATACAAAAACAGCTAACAAGGGCTGTGGTGAGAAATCACAAATTAAAGAATCACATCAAAGAAGAGATACTGTCTCTAGAATGAAACCTGAAAATGAGCTTTCCTGTATTTTATATAGAAAAAAAATCAGGAAACAGATTTGTATACTTTTCCTTGATCAGCAATGCCCAGTTAAGTAATTGCTGCATTTATACAGAAATTGGAAATATATCAAAACTAGTTGTGATTGGGCTTAGGCATTCTTAAATCCAAGCTCCACGTTAATTTTTACTCCATTAGCCAATATGGGAGAAAAATGTTTGTGTAGGGAAAATATTAAAAGAAGGCTTGGTAATTATTTTCTGTTATTAATTCAAGGAAGATTGGGGCAAATGGAAAAAGCATATACTGTAGATTCAAATGCTTTCTTTTTTTCTGAAGAGCTCATAGTAATTTATATATAAAACTTAGATAAAAATGTTAATTTTTTTCTGAGTGACTGAAAACTGAGGGAAAATAGAAAGACAGTGAAGGGCAAAATAATTATTTTTATGTGTCAAAAGAAATTTTACAGACTTAATCTAATTTGATCCTGACAATAGTATTCTGAAGGTAAACTGAAATATCAGCCCACTTCACAGGTGAGGAACCTGAGGTCTAGAAGGCTAAGTGTTTGTCCAAAGTTATGCTACTTCATTGAGTCAGGAGTCAAACCTAATCCTAATGGTCTTTTATTAGCATTCTAAACATCCTCTACAGGAGTGCTGGATTTATGCTTATATACGCCAGGATTCCTTTGATGGTGAATAAATAGCTTCAAGTGAAGGCGCTTCTTTTCTGGCCAAAAAAAGAATGAAAACATGGGATCTTCTGTATTTGCATAATTATATCCTTGTGGTGATGTATCAATACTTTCATTAGCTCTGTACTGTATGAATTAATACTTTAGTCTCTGTAATATATCTCTTACCTTACAAAACTCTGAATCATTCATGGTTCTATGAATGTTTGTTGAGCAATCCACACATACTGCCAGGTATCGTGTAGGTATCAGGGATATGGCGATGGTCCCTGGTCTCAAAGAGATAGGCAGGCCAGTAGGGAAGAAAGGTCAGTGGACAACTTAATGCAACAAAATTTTGCAGGTGTTGTGAAGCCAAGATAAGTAGAAAGAATGGGGAGAAAAGGAGTAGGCAAAGGTGTTTCTCTAGCTGCTTCTAGCTTCTACCTTATGATACAACTGGGGCTCCTAAGATACAGAATTGATAAAAGATCCAAGCCTTTATTAGCATGCCTGGTGAGGCATTGCTATGAAAGAAAGACCCTTGGGTGCATGGAGGAGCCTATAACTGGTTTTTTAAAGAAAGGGTACAATGCTTTGTTTGCCATAAGCATCCGAGTGAGCCTACTTAGACTCCATCTTGAGGCAGAAGTACACAACTTCATATTTTTTCCCCAAATCTCTATGGCTAATATGTTAAATTCTACCAGATTGTATCTACAAGTGAATTGGAGAATAAGGCTAACAGAAAGTTCTATCTTTTTGAGTGACAATGATATAATTCATGAAATTACTATGTTTGATGGAGCCTTGATGTTGTGTGGCTTTGACACGTGTTATTTCATTCATTCAACAAATATATTTATGCAATGATAGTATATGCCAGGCACTGCTTAGGCACCTGTGATAGATCGTGAACAAAAGAGGTAATAACAACAAAAATTCTCTGACCTTATGTTACTTACATTCTAGTGAGAGGAAGATCGAAAATAAACAATAAATGTGATAAGTAAGTACATACTGTTTTATGCTAGAAGGGGATAGGACAGGGTAGGAAAGATGGCACTACTGGGGGTAGGTGTGGGTCAGTACACCTTTAAAACGGTGGTCCCTTCAGGCTGCAGGAGACATCTAAACAAAGACTGTAGCAACTGATGGAAATACCATGTAGATATGTGATGAAGGGAAAATCATTTCAAAGAGAGGGAAGAGCCATTTTGAAGACTGAAGTAGGAGGACACTGCCTATTTTGAGGACTAGCACGAAGTCAGTGTGGTTGAAGTGGAACATATGAGAGGGAGACTAGGAAAAGAGGAAGTCAGAGAGGTAACAGAGGTCCAACCAGGGAGGGCACCCTAAACCAATGAAAGGGCTTTAGCGTGTACTCTGAGTCAGATGAAAATCTCTTAAAGGGTTGACAAAGGAATTCCATGATCTGACTTAAGTTTTAAAGGGATCGCTTTCCCGGCTGTGTTTCACATAGACTGGGAGCTGAGGGCAAGAGTGGCAGCAAGGAGCTGAATGAGAAGCTGCTGGAGTAACCCAGCCCAGAGTTCCTGAAGGCTCAGCTCAGCAAGGCAGGAATGGAGCTGGAGATAAGGGTTGTGATTCCGGATTCATTTTGAAGGTAGAGCCAACAGGGTTTTATTATGGCTTTTATTTGGGGTGTGAGAGAAAAAGAAGAATCAAGGATGTCTTCAGAGTTTTTGGCCTGAGCAACTGGAAGAATGGAGTTGTCATTAACAGAGTTTGCAGTGAATAGCAGAAGCTTACTCTAGATAGGTTCAGTTTCAGAAGGCTATTAGACATTTGCATGGAGTTGTTAAGGAAGCAACTCACTAATACTGGGTTGTTAAGTGAGCAGCAGTCCAGTGTTTAGGGGAGAGGTCCAGGTGGGAGAGTCTGTGTCATTTAGGTCATGTTTAAGGCTGTGAGAGTATTGAGACCACCTAGGGAGTAAGTAGAGATAGAAATGAGAAAAGGGCATGGACTGAGTCAGGGGTCCTGGAGGACACAAGAGGACTGAGAAGGTTCCACTAGTGTGGTAGGACAGCCATGAGGGTGTGGTGTCCTGGAAGTCAAGTGAGGAAAATGTACCAAAGAGGAGGGAGTGGTCACGTGTCCACTGCTACTAAGGGCTGAGTACGGTAGTGAGTGCTCTGAGGTACTTAGTGATTTTGCCAATGCGGGGTTTGGTTAGTGGTTTGTAGGGACAGAGTGCTCCACTGTTGATTGAGCCTAGCCTGCCACCTAGCAGCCTGCATCTCAACTGGCTTTGTTCTCTGCTTAAAGCATTTTCATTTTGTGGGGGAAATTATGCGCTATACATACATACGTTGATGGTATTTGTCAGTCTCCCAATATGTCTCTGGACATATTCATTATTAATAAGATGAGCCCACTGAATGCTTGAAAATGTACTGTTTAATATTTTATTATGTATATGTAAAAATGTGGACATAAAAAGGAGCTAAAAATACTCCCAACACTCAGCCCACTAAATTAACATTTATCAAAGTATTTCCACCTAAGGGTTTTTGTAAACTTGCAGGTTCCTGAGTCTACATTCCAGACACCCCCCCCCAGGTTTAACAAGCTCCACAGATCACTTTTGCACAATTAAATTGGAGAAACTTTGCCCTGAAAATCAGTGGTTTCCATTTCTAAAACCTCCACAATCCTGCCATGCAGAAATAATTTTACAGTTTGGCTCCCAGTGTATATATACATCATTTTCATGTTTTACCTCATTTACATCTTTCTATATAAAATTCTTCCATATTGGTGTCTTCGAATGGCCACACACACACTACCACATTAACATACCACTTTTCCAGCTTTTCCTAAATAGTTGGATATATTCCAGGTTCTAGCATTAATATGTGATGTGGTGCTAAACATTGTTATACAAGGAGTTACTCTCCCTTTCAAGGTCCCTTGTTGGCATATCTTCCCCACAGAGGGTAAGTTTGGTACAGAGGGCCTGATCACGTCCATGACTTCACGATTCGTGACTTGACAGACTGCCAAAACGTAAGAAGTCTGTAACTCATCATTTCACTACATCATTGGCAAGATATCTGTGCAACTTTATCTAAGTCCTGTGCCATTGTTGAATTTTGTCATATTTATCACATCTTCCTATTTAATGAAAAAAGTGGTATGATTCTCTACTGGTTTTAATTTACATTTCTATAATTATCAATGAGATTAACATTTTCTACCATTTCTATTTCTTATATGTTTATGCCAGATGGACATTTATTCATTGGAGCTGTTCTACAGACTAGGGAAATAAACATTTTCCTTCAAGTCAAATTATGAATATGTTCTCCATTATTTTGTCATTTTATTTTTGTCACTCTGTTTTGCTAGATCTTAATTTTTTTGTGACTTGGTTTAAAGCCACCTTGCTAAGTTATTGTGCCCTGTTACACTAATCACATATGGCTCTTATTTATGATAATAAAGTGGTTTCTGACTATTGATACAATCCCAGTTTCACATAAAGAACTCGATACAAAAATTAAGTCTATTGGTTTTGCCAGGCCTCTTCTCTGAAGCTGTAATTTTTAGAAGTAACAATTGCTTGAATGATTAATTACACCTTTAGTTACACCAGTAAGGCCATAATTAACTGTTGGCACCTCCAGCAAAACCAACAAATAGCTAATGGTCTTGACCAATAATTCTTCCCTTTTCATCTATTTATAGGGAAAAATTTGAGGCTGAGGATTTGACCATTCATTTCAATATAGTGCATTCATTTATGCTTGTCTTCTTGTCATACATAATGGTATATTAAACAGATTTTTCTGTAATTATGGGTATTAACTAAAATGCAGAATTAAAATTCACCTCTGAGCTTGGTTTGGGCAGATGTGTGAAAATGTACACCTTGTGTAGACAAATCTATAACACTCTCACATGCTTCATCCCTTAAAATAGCTTCTTTGGAATCAATAGGGAATTTTTTACTTTAACATAAAAAGGTGAGTTAAAAGAGAAAAATTTAATCTAACCTTTCTTCCCACTACTTAGAAGTGTTAGAAGGTAAAAAGGGTGGTGGTAGGTCACAGTAGACAGTGACCTTTGAACAGGTATTGCCTTAAGTAAGATCCTCAAAAGACCTTGCTGAGAAGTCATTCTCAGCAATTTTCTAAGGACCAGTTGCCTCAAAATTGTCTGGGGCTATTGTGAACATGCGTGTTATTCTCAGTTCTGTTAATTTCAAGGTTTACTGTAATTCACATAAATTTGGTGTATGCTCAAAGATATGTGACACTTTGCTTATCATGGTTCTTATTGAATGAGGATTCATTTTCTCAGGGCTCAGTCACTTTTCTCCAACATAACTAAAAGGCTTATGTGGCATGAATATATACCATGCCTTCCAATATAAATATATTCATACACAGATTATCCTATTGTAGTCTAACTTTTTTATGGAAGAGAACCCTTTCTCCAGGGCAGCATCATTCAAAATCCCAAATGGAAGTGAGAAAAAAACAGAATACTCTTGTTGAAGTGGAGCTAGTGGACCCAGAGCCCCCAGGAGTTCTGTTTGTAAACCCATGTTGTCACTGCAGCCTGTCTGTGGAGCCTCTAGGAAATGAGGATTTTTATTACATGGCCTTTGAGCTATGGCTCAGATTGCATGTATGTTTTGATTTCCTGAAACTTGAATGTAAGTGAAAAATTTTTTTTGTTGAAAATAATTTTAATGCTTCATATAGTAAATCAGAGAGATTTATGAATGAGATATGACATTGGATAATGAGATGGTCAAAAGTAGTCACACAAATCTCTTTTGGACCTAAAATATTTATCTCAAGTTCCAATTTTTTTTTTTAAAGATTTTATTTATTTATTTGACAGAGAGACACAGCGAGAGAGGGAACACCAGCACGGGGAGGGGGAGAGGGAGAAGCAGGCTCCCCGCCGAGCAGGGAGCCCGATGCGGGACTCGATCCCGGGACTCCAGGATCATGACC